TTGCTAGGGACTTGCCCGGCACTTGCTCTCTACCTCTATTTGTTATCTTACTTCTATCATTGACAGTCCCTCTAGGTTGTGGGCTGCTTGCCTGTGTTCCTGAGAAGCATCTACGGTACCAGTCTATAGAGTGTGTTTTCTTTAGTGAATTACCGGTATGTTTACCGGTAATAAACTTGCACTGTTTTATGTATATGTTTGATTACATACAGCCTTGTGACAGTTTTCCTGCATGTCATAAGCATTTGAATATAAATTAAAATGTTAAAATCAAATCTGATATTGTTTTACCTTTTATTTGGTGTGTGGAAGGTGTGCGGAAGAGGGGGTAGTCTTATACGGCGAGTATATAACAAACTCTGCATTTTGAGTGGAAATGTTAGGGGGTCGTCTTATACGCCCAGTCGTCTTATACGCCGGCAAATACGGTACCTTTTGAAGTTTGGTCACAGAAATTTTTAAATTCAGCATTCAAGCCATCAAAACAATTTTTTTATTTGAACACATGTTGATTCATTCACTTTTTGTAAATTTTTTTGAGACATTTAAGTGCAGCTGTCTGGGAGGGAAAGCTCTGTTTTCAGTCTGTATCCATAACCACAAACATCTGGGCCTGATTTCAACAACAATCCAGAGGGAAGGAGACTCACATAGCAGGGAGAGGCTGTGTGTGCAAGAAAAATGTGATCAAAAGACAACATAACACTTCAGGGTATCCTGGTCATTGTGCACACATAATGTCCATTTCATTGTGTGAATTGAGAACCCTTCAAACATAAGCAAGAACCCAAGGACTCAGCAGCCCCAATACAGGACAAGTACATCTCCACATCCTGTATAATACTGGCTTCTGTGCAATAGGGCAAGATTACCTTTGAAAACCTCTCCCTACATTAGGCCCCAAAATCAGGGCCGACAGTCACCAACATTTTGGCAATGGGAACCAGAGGATCTTTCTCTTCCCCTCCCTTCTCCCATCAGCTTCTCCTTTTATATATGTTCTTTATGTCCAGCTATGAAGCTCTCCCATTGACTTGCATCTTTATACATTCACTTTTTAATATGGTAAAAGATATCAAAATATTTTAATTTAAGAGTGAGAATCAATGACGAGCCATTTGACCCTGATATGTCCTGCTCAAATAACTGACAAGGCATTGTTTTGGCCAGTTTACAGAACTATGTTTAGAATTCCATTTAGTGCTGCAGGATAAGTCATTCAAGTGTGGCTTTTTATCAGATCTGTTCACCAAGCATCAGATAGAAAATAAGCACACACAGCTCTGTGCTTCTCTGTGTGAAAGCAGCATGCCTAAGTGGCATGAAGACTGCCTTCACTTGGCCCTAGTGACAGTAAGGCTACTTGTCCAGGCTCTGCTGATGTGCCCTCTAATAGAGTGCAGCACCTTCACCCCATACCTTTTTCCTTCTAACAAACCTCAGTAGCAATTGACAGTTGTAATTCCAAGAAGTAGGCATTTTGACCATTTCTTCCAGGCACCTCTAGGAAGGTACCAGCCAACACCTCTCTCTTATGGACAAAGAGAAAGCCCATCCTCTGACTCACTCCAGAGTCACTTAGAGGAGACAAGGAAGAGGGACAGGGAGGGAAAGAACTTGTTTGAACAGGTGTCAGGGAAGTGAGAGCCTTTGCTTAGGAGAAAGCCTGAGAGGCCACTGGGTTGTAAGATGAGGTCCTTGGGATGACTCCAGGACAAGAGAAGAGAATAAAGTTAGCTGCTAGAGTTTACTGACAGGACTTTGAGAATGGGATAGAACAGTGAAAAAGGGGAGGGGAGAAGAGGGAAGAAAAGGAGAAGACAGAGGAGGGGAAGAGGAGGGGAGAAACAAGGGGAGGGACAGCCAGAGCAGAGAGCTCTTTGGGACCAGGGACCCTGTGGCGGAGGGAACAAGAGATACTGAAGGGGAGGGTGGTGGTACCGAAGGACTGTGAAGGCTAGTAATGAGGTTCCAGGAGGCCTCTCTAGTGCCCATGGCCCTCAGTAAAGCTTTGAGTCCACGTCTTTGGGAAGAGCCTGGAGAGCATCTAGCAGAATTGCAGGAGGTGAACTAATTTGGTGGCACTGGAGACCCTGAACCATAGGAGACTTGAGAAAATGTACAGCCATCCAAGACCTCCTAAAAGACTGGGAAGGGGACGCTGGGTCTCCCACAGCCCTGAGGAAAGCTATAAGCCAACATCATGTGACCCTCAAAAAGGCCAAAACCAAGCTCTTGTGGAGACACACCTGGCCTGTCCAGGCTCAGGATGGAGGTCACTCCCTAAGCCAGCTCCTCCCACCCTGCAGCCCCTCACCCCTCTGGGCGGGGCCTGTGGGAGCAGTGTGGGTGATAATGGCGGGAATGGGAGTGGTAGGATCTAACAAGAATATGACTTTCCCTTGAACATCCTAACACATCTGGCCCAATGGTTGACACTGACTAGAGGAAAGGAATATCTGAATTTCAAGAAAAGAAGAACTGCAAAACAGATCCCCAGATGTAGGTCTGCAGGATCCCTAATCCATGCCATGCCCCCATATCCTTCCTGGGGTCCAAGACCAATAATAATACTGATTATTATGAAAGATTAAAGCTCAGGAAGAGCAACGGTGATGACAGCCCACACTGATTAAGTGCTTACTATTCAGCAAGTCTCAGCACCTTTCAGGTGTGAACTCATTCAACCTGCAGTCCTTTGAGGTGCTGGAGGCTCTTCTTGGTCCCCACCTTACAGGACACTGCACAAAGAGGTCATGACATGTGCCCAATGGCTGGCACATGACATGGGCATACCCCTAGGGTGTGAAAAAGGGTGTATGCACCCAGGCACTCAGGCCCTCGGGCTTCAACCTACTCGTGGCCCTCCGTACCCCTCCAGGGCTCCTCTGTCTTCCTGCTTCATTCACCTGTGGAAGCATCACCATTTACCACCACACTCTTAAGCATATGGGAACCAACCACCCAACACCAATAGAGTCACTGAAGCCCCATTTCTACAGGGACACAAGCTCAGTGGAAGGTGTGATCCTGACCCTGATGCCCGCTGTGTAAGCGAAAAACCCCCAAACCCAAAACAATCAGGGAAGGAGTTCCATAGAGGTGCTCTAGACATGCAGAAAAGGGTGGCTTAGAGTGAGGCAAGGGTCATTCAGCCCACGGTCAGTGGCAGAAGTAAAGGCAAGTATACACAGCACAGCCCACAGGGA